GTTCAGGTGACCCCGCAGCATGCACACGGGGTGTTCAGGTGACCCTGCAGCACGTGCACAGTACGCACACGGGGCGTTCAGGTGACCCCGCAGCACGCGCACAGCACACGCAGAGCCTCCGGAGCGACGTGCGCTGGCCGGCAGAGAAGCCTCTCGCGGAGTGGTACGCATGCAGAGCAGGGGCTGCAGAGGAGTACTTAGCAAATGCAGTGACAATGTGGCCTGGCACAGGATCACCTCGTTCTTTGGGGACCGTGGTGAAGACTGGGAGTTTATACTAAATAGAAGGGCTTGGGTGATTTTAAGACTGGACATGATATAATTTACATTTTAAAGGCTAATTCTGATGAGAACCTGATGGCAAGAAGAGCTAGTTGGTAGAGAGAGGAGAACAGGACCCGGGATTAGGAGACGGTGAAGTAACCCAGAGGAGGGATCGCGGTGGGGACGAAGTGCGGTTAGCAGGAGTGGTAAAATGTCATCAGATTCTGCCTATATGATTTTTGGTTTTGGTACTGGGGATTGAACTTGGGGCCTTGTGCTTCCCAGAGAGGCTCTTATGCCGCTGAGCTATTTCTCTGGCCCTCTGGATATATTTTTAAGGGTAAGTTTTCAATTCAGATTTTTGAATACTGAACATGAACGTTTTAAAGTCCATGAATTTGTGTGGATCAGCATATCTAAACTTCTCATCTGCTGTCTGATTAAATACAAGAATACTCCTTTAATATACAACGAACGTATCAATATTGTGTTAGGTGTATTCACATATACCTAGAGATTCAGTGCTCTTAATTATGTGAACAAGCAAAGGGCAGGCACTTTATGAGTACGTGTACATCAATATGTAAATACTCAAATACAAAACTAAAATACTCGTCAAAGCCTGCTTACATGCGTAGAATAGTGTGGAAGCGACAGCCCTTCCCCTGGGGTGTCGCGATAGCAGCTGGACTGCCCTAAATGCATAAATGACGTTGCCAGTGTTAATTTTCCAAAACTTTGAGAAGTTTGTAATAAAAATCTAAGAAAAACCTAACTTCCTCCTTGGTTTACAAGAATGTCACGTTTTTTTGGCACAAGGAGTCACACAGGATCTCGGGCTTGCCAGGAAGGCGCTATGCCACCGAGCTCGAAATTTACTGCCAGATTCTTCCATTCTTGAAAAATTAAATGAGTACTAAATTGATGCAACAAATATTTTGTGTTTGTATGTGCAGAAGTTCAGATGGTAAAAAGCATGACTATTCCCCACATAAATGTCTGCTAGGACATTCAGGATGCTGCAGGTGTCAGCGCTGGCTTTGTACCCGCGTACTGCCCAAGCGCAGCCGCTCGCGGTGGTCCTTGCCCCCTGCGCGTTACCACAGCTACAAGTGCGTGACGTCGTCCCGTTTTCCAATTGCTCCTGAATCGGCCCTGCAGTGCCTCGTTAAAAACGCTTGCGTGGTTAAATGGAAAGGTCGGAGGACTGAACAAAGGGGCTTTCGTTAGAGGTGACACGAGGAGGAGCCAGGTACAGTGACTAAAAAGGGACTGCAAGAAGGTAGAAAGAGAAACAAGTGGGGCTCTGGCCTGGAGGCCAAGGTAAGAACTGGAACGCATTCCAGTAGAGCGCTGTTCTGTGGCCATGGGAAGGACAAAGTGTTGACCAATTTTCAGCCTGTGTTACTGAATTTGTTTTACTTTTAAGATAGCTTTTCCTGGCTGGGGATGTAGTTCGGTGGCTCAGTCCCCGACTGGCAAGCGTGAGACCCTGCGTTCAATTCCTTGTACGAAACAAAACCTTTAAAAAAGAGATGGAGATATTATAGCTCAGTGGCACAAGCACCTGCCTGGCAAGTGCAAGGTCCTGAGTTTAATTCTAGTTACCAAAAAATAAATAAATAAATAAATAAATAAATAAATAAATAAATAAAAGAAAAGTTTTTTCTTTCCTGTAGTGGTGTTTGGGTTCTAATACTGACTGGCAAGTGAAGTTACATGCAGCGTGCAACAGTTTTACATGCAGGAGTTGCTACAGTGCTTCTTCAAATTGCCTTTCTGGAAGGACTTTCTTTGCTGCTTACCAGCACTTGTAACCATGTTTAAAAACGCAAACTATGTTCTAAATTGGAAAATATTTCATTTTATGTATGTGCTTTCTTTCTGTTTCTTTTCCTTTTCCTTTTTTTTTTTTTTTGCGGTACCGGGGTTTGAATTCCAGACATTGTGCGGGCCAGGCAGGTGCTGGTGCCGCTGAGCTCTCTCCAGCCCTGTATGTGCTTTCTGAAGATTTCAATTATTTCTGGACTTTGAAAAAGTAATTTGTGAGTCAAATACTGAGCAGAATGTTAGCATAGTCTGATGCCTTTTAGTTCATAATAGCATCTTGTTTACATAATGGATCCCATACGTGTACTGTCAAGAAGCGGCCGAACAAGAAAACTTAACGTTTTCCTTAGAGTGTCTCACTTTTCTTTTTAAAAGGGTCAGTTTTATGGCATACTGCTGTTGCATATATTATTGAATATTTGAAACTAATATTTTTGATCTTAAAATTAGATGTACATTTACTTTTTGGTCAAATACTGTTACTGGGTTGGGGAAATAGCTCGGTGGTCTAAGCGCTTGCCTGGAAAGTGCAAGGGCCCGAGTTCGGGTCCACATGCCAGGCTGGCTCTGAAACCCAGGCACGCCTTGTCAGCCCCCGAAACCGCGTGTGGTGGCGCACATCTGTAATCCCAGCGCTGGGGAGGCTGAGACAGGAGGGTTACTATTAGTCTGAGCTGCGTAGTGAGACTCTGTACCAAATAAGTAAATAAGTGATTTTTTATTTTTTAAAATATTTTTTAGGGGAAAGGTCTACAGGGTGTTCAGGGTCTCACTGCTAGATCAGGCTTGTAGTGATCCGCCTTTTTACAGCTTCCCAAGAGCTGGGAATATAGGCGTGCGTCACCACGCCCAGTCTCAACTGCTGTCTCATCGCGCCCCAGGGGCGGGGCCAGCACAGCAGGACTGGAGATGGAACCTTTGGCCTCTGTGCCTGCTTGCAAAAATGACTAAAAAAATTTGTAAAAATGCTATTATCTTAAAACATTTTTCTCACATTATGATTTGATTTTCCAAATGGGTTGGAACAAATCAGTTATAATTCTTATACCTAAATGATTATTTTATAAAATAATTTATTGAAATAGCAGGATTTTATTAGTAACAGTCTTTCAGATGTCAAGTAGTGATGCCTGTTTCTTTGGTAATTTTTGTCTTCATAGGTGTCTGTGGAAGAATTAAAAGATAGAATTAGTATTAAAATAGCTAAAGAAGCTGTCATGAATATAAATAAACCTGCGAACCTTTTTAAATCTACCAATGGATTTGTGGAAACCAAAATATACTTCTCAGGATTACCTCGGAAAGTGGCAAATGCGCTCCTTAGACCGGTATGTCCCCAGTCGGTGTCCTCCATCCTGGAGGAGGTCCTTTGGCCTGCAGGGGGTTCGCCTCTGCGCTTTCCTCAGGGTCACTCGAAGTTGCTCTGGCAGGCACACAAGCCTGGCGGCTCGGCCGAGCGTGGAAACATGACGTTAGTGAGCCTTGAGGCGATAGTGGGACGGAAGGAACCGGCGGCTGTGGTTCCGCGCCCAGCGGACTTCCCGGCGGTACTCCTGCAGGGCGGGGCTTTCGGCTCTCAAGCGCCAGTTCGTTGGTAGCGTCCTAATAATTCATCCTCAGGCATTAAACATGAATACGTATGTTGGAATCTGATTTTTTCTTTTTAGAAACCAGCCAAGGATCTTTTTCATACCTATTTTAACATAATTTTAGAGGTTAAGGGTTGCTTGGAAAACAGATTTTGGGGTACATTTTAGATACACAAGATGCTCACATTCATCATGGGGAAGTTGGGCCTGCACGCGATTTGGCTTATCCCTTCCCCTCCCGTCCCCTCGGCCCCTCTTCTTCTCCCCATTTATAAAAGCTTGTTTCCATGTTTTTCTGTTCACCCGCTTCTTTTTTTTTTTTTAACCCCCCTTCCTTGTTCCCTCCCTATTTGAATATTTTCTTCCTATTTCACAATATCTACCATACATTTTGGTTCCTTTTTAAAATTTTATTTTAAAGAGAAAAAAACAAGAACAAATAACAAAAAGACAAAAGCAAAGTAACATAAAACAATAAAAATGGTACAGAATTTCAAAACAAGGACAGGAAAGTAACAATGGTTGTTATATTACGTATTTCTATCATTAAATTTCTTGCTCAGATTACCAGATATAGGCATGTAAAATTGACCAAACAATTAAACATTAACTCTTCCTTTCAACAAGCCTAATTTTTTCCTTGTCCTTTTTATTTTTTTGATTCATTTTAAAGAGAATATAAAAATAATAGATAAGACATTAGAAATGGAATACTTTTTTTAAAAAAAAAGTAGTCAACAGTTGTTATGTTGCACATTGCTGTCCTCATTTATAGAAAAATGGATTTTTTAACTGAGAGTGTGACTGGCCTATCATAAATTGAAGTTGGAGACAGTAGATGATTTATTGAATAAGATGTTTGTCAAATAAATTCAGAATGGGTTTCATGAAAGTAGAAATCACTGTTTAAGAGTTTTAAATTTTTTCTTCAGCAAATAAACTTGTTTTAACTTAAATATGTACCACTTTATATCCATCTTTTATTTATGGCAATTTATAGTTCCGTTAACCTTTTTTTTTTTTTGTGGTACCGGGGATTGAACTGAGGACCTTGCACTTGCCAGGCAAGTGCTTACTCTACTGAGCCATCTCTCTGGCCCTAGCTTTGGAAGATTTCTGTGATATACGTCTTGGTTACTTCTCATTGCTAGGACAAAATGCCCATCCCCCACCACGTAAAGGAGCAGATGTTTACCCAGCCCACAGCTGGTGGAAGCCTCAGTCTGTGGTCAGCCCACTCTAAGGTAGGGCGGCTGGCAGGGGCCATACAGAGGAGAAGGAGCTCATGCAGGACAGGCAGGGCCAGAGGGAGTTCCTTCTTTTCTGTTTTTGTTCCATCCAGGCTCAAAGCCTGCTGGTTGGTGCCACCCAAGCCCAGAGTGGATATTCTCTATTTAGTAAGCCCACCCCACCCCGGAACTATGCTAAACCAGCAGTGGACTAATTCTTTATCCAGCTACTTCCCAAGACCCCACGAATATTTGGGGGAATATCTAAACATTAGCCATAATAAGATGATATTAAATCTAAATTAAATCAGCTAGCTCATGTCAAAACGAATATGCCTATTCTTTGCAACTGATTAAATGAAGACATTTTTAAAGCTAAATAAGTTTTTCAAATGAGTTGATCATTTGTGAAACTGCTGCTATCCATCCATGTAATACGGCTGTAGTTGGGTGCTTCCATGAAACCTAAATGTAAACATTTTGGTTCCTGAAGAGAATTGGAATCTGGATTAGCAAAGTGAACCTGTGTTGTAAATGCAAATATGGAGAGCAGAAAGCAGCCTAGAACCCTGGCCTTCTGGGGCGCACGCATAGGACCTAGCTCTGCATGCCGCAGGAAGGCAAGCGAGACTTGAGATGCTAAAAATTATCAGGACCCCCCAAAGGACTGCAGCGGCATAAGCTCACTTTTGCTGAAAAAACTATCCATCCAAAGGGTGCATCACAAAGAAAAGTTTAGGGACCGGGGAGATGGCTCAGTAGAATAAGCACTTGCCTGGCAAGCGCAAGGGCCTGAGTTCAATCTCTATCCCTGGTTCTGAAACAAAAAAGAAAAGAAAAGAAAGAAAGAAAAGTTTAGCTTAAATCTTCCATCTGAATGAAACCTGTCTCTAGATTCAGTGAAGCCTTTTATCAGTCTGACTTGTGTAAATTTCACATGCCCTTCTTGACCTGCTAGATCAACCCTCGTCTGGATGGGTGCATACGAAGCTGGAATTTGATGAACCAAGGAACTCTGGGAGCCAAGGAAATTATTCAAGAAAAACAAAATAAGCACTGCCTTGTCACCGTGGAGAAGGGCTCCTATTACCCCGGATCTGGAGTTGCTCAGTTTAGCATAGATTATAGTAAGTGACTGCCCATTTTCTCTTTATTCAATAATGATTAAATTATTCAATGACAAATAGCAGTAACTCATTCAGTAAACATTACGGTGTACCTGCCAATGTTCCAGGTATAATCTGATTTACGCTGCTATGACTTTTTGTAACAAGTGGTATATCAGACAAAATATAAAGGCAGTTAAATATGTCTATCTTTATGTTATTATTTAAAGTTCTGTGCTACGTCTGATTCAGTTAACCTGTTGTAATGTTCACTCCTTTCTTAGTTTTGAGTCTACCAACTGCTGCCTTAAAGGGATTCCTTTTCATTTCAATCTTTTCTATTAGATCTTTTCTTAAAAGTTCTGTTTCTTACGTTCCTACATGTTTTTCCAGCTTTTCTGCCTGAGCTTTCAACACATTCATTATAGCTATTTTAATTTGCGGTCCAGAGTTCCAAAATCTGCATCAGTTGTGAGCATGGCCGTGCTTTGTCTCTTGACTATGTGTTAATTTTCCTTGTGTCTTTGTGTATAATGATGTGACTTGCAGCCTGGCATTTTACACAGAACGCTCGAGACCGGTGTAAACACGCATCTGGGTCTGGAAGTGGCCGCGCCCCTTCTTTGCTCAGCACTCCCCAGGGAAGGCGGGGACTGCCCACCAGCGCGGGCTGCGGCCTCGTCTGGCCCAGCGTGAGTGGGCCCCGGTTTCCCTCCTCGCGTTAGACCTCGTCCTCCTCCTCCTCCTCCTCCTCCTCCTCACACGTGCTCCGGTTGCAGCAGCATCTGTGGGCTGAGGCCCTCGCCAAAGCTACTCTGGCTTGGCCGGTTGTCCTCTGAAACTGCGTGCCACATGATCTTTTTTTCTTGGTACATTACTCTGCTCTAAGCATTTTTAATAGCTATGGAAAATGTGCTGATATAAGTAAGTCTCCTCTTAGGATAGGGGCTGGTTTCCTAGAGATTTTTAAAATAGTGGTTCACTATTTTAATAAATTTTAATAAACATTTAATTAGATGTTTCTTAATAGCAACTCAGTTTTAGATATTTCCTGTGTATGTCTTCAGAAACAATGCCTGACAGCACAGTCCTCCTCACCTCCAGCAGAATTTTCTTTTTATTTTTTACGTATTTGGTACAGGGTCTCACTAGGCAGCTGAGACCACTAGGGATCCTCCTGTCTCAGCCTCCCCAGTGCTGGGATTACAGGGTGCCCCACCACACCCATCCAGCAGAATATTCTTCTCACTTCACCTTTGCGACATGTTGGCGGGAGCTTGGAGCTGGAGGAAACGTTCTCTATAGTTGTGGCATACAGCCAGAGTCTTGGGCAGTTGTTGTAGCACTAGGTCACAGAGGAAGAGACTTTCATCACCTTCATTGGTGTGAAAACCCCACTGATGGAGGGAGGGAGGGAGGGAGGGAGATGCTCAGTGGTTAGGCCTCAAGACAGGTTCCTCCTAGGTGTCAGAGGTGCTGCTTTCCCCAGATCTACAGGCATTGGTAACCTTCACGTGTGTTCTCGTGGCAGGACTTGCTGCCTGTCCTGTGGTGCATCAGGGCTCTTCTGGGCAGGACACAGGGAAGGGTCCGGTGGGGTTTGTGCCTTTCCTGGAGCTGGTGTTGCTCCCAAGATCGAGAGGCTCTCTTTGCTCCCAGGTTTTCTCTGGAGCATCCAGGAAGGCCTGTGGAGAAGGACTTGTGGATGAATTTGCGTTTCCTTCAGGTCCGCAGCTGGTAGGCCTTCTATAATTTCCTGCCTGCCCCTACATGAACTTTCATGACTTTTAATTTATTTTTTATTTATTTTTATTTTTTTATTTTTGATTGAACTGGGGATTGAGCTCAGGCCCTTGCGCTTGCCAGGGAAGTGCTTATTCCACTGAGCCATCTCCCTGGCACCTAATTTTTAATTATTCTTACCAAATTTTATGGCATCTAGTGGTTGCCACATTCTGTCTCTCATCCTGTCTGTCCTGAGAAGAACTTGTCTTTCTTCAGGTTTCTGGTTTGTTGCTCTGAAACTAACAATTTAACTTTGATAGTTCAATAAAAATTGCGATCACATAGGTAATTTGGCTGTTGTGAGCAAAGGTGGGAATTGCAGTCTTTCCAGATTTCTCTGGGAAATCTGTAGAAAGTGTAGCAGGAAGTCTCTTCAGACTGTCTTAGTTTTTACCTTTACGGATAATAGTTCTGTAAAAACTGTTGTGAGTGCATCTTGGTACTTCCATGCAGTCAAATCTGTAGGAGCGTCCAGGATTATCTCAATCAAATGTCATACATATATGTACAGAATCCACCAGAAATTGTATGCACACACTTCAGTGAAAGAAAAGCCTACAGAAGGTGCGCATTCTCCTGATGCAGCACTTGCAGTCCTTTGTCTGTTGTGGATTCTGTAAGACGTGGCATAGTGCAGAAAACCCACTACACTGCCAGCTTTTAAAGAAGAAATTAAAAATGCCAGTGCAGAAATCTCGGTGCACACTCTGACCAGCATTTCCAAAGCTGCAGTTTACCATACTAATAAATGTCAGTGGCGGGGGTTCCATGCCTGGGCTGCTGCGCCGGCCCTGTCCCCGGGGCGCGCTGAGACAGCAATTGAGCCTAGGTGTTATGGTGCGTGCCTGTAATCCCAGCGCTTGGGAGCCTGTAAACAGGCGGATCACAATGAGTCCGATCTAGCAGCGAGACCGTGAATACCCTGTAGACCCTGCCCTAAAAAAAAAAAAATGTCTGGAAGCTAACAACCACCACTCTGAGCTCTTCTTGTAGTTGTAGAAGCCAGTGGTAACTTGTATTAATCTCACAAACTTAGTATTAAAATATTTACACAAGTTTTTTCTTCCATGAAGTTTATATACATTTTTTGGTGGACTCTGTATAATTGCAAGACAGGTTATATGCTCTTTCAAAGATTTTTTTTTTTTTATCAATTATTACTTCTGCCAACAGAAGGAGAAAGTTTATGGCTCAGATTTGTTTCTAATCTAATGGTTCAAAAATTAAACTTTGGAGTTATTTTCCTAATTTCTGCTGAAGTAGACTATCCTTTTATTTTCTATCCTTATATTTTTAGCTGTTTATACATTTTAATTCTTTATATTCTTTGTTGTAAGATTATTATTATTAATTTATTTGTTTATTTTTGTGGCTTGCTCAGCCTGCCCTGGGTAGGGTTGGCACAGCGTGTGGTGCCAAAGATAGAACTGGAGTCCTCGTGCTTCCCTAAGCTCGTCTAAGCAGGTGCGTTAGACCACTGAGCTACCTTGCCAGCCCTGTGAGTTTATTATTTAAGCTACTAACACTTTCCATTGTAAATGAGTGCATATGATTCTCTGCTTTTGGAAAAATGGTTTTTGGATGTGTTTTATCTGTAGCTTTAAAAATACTTGCTGGCTGGCGAGATAATTTTTTAAAATTATGTAAACGTCACAGGGAACTTAAATTCAGCCTGTTGTTTATTTATTTATTGTTTTCAGGGATTGAACTCAGGGCCCTGCACTTGCCAGGCAAAAGAAAAATGAATAAATAAATAATAAATAAATGTACTTCCTACAGTTTTTATTTGTAGCTTTAAAAAGTAATTAAGATTAAACTTGCATCATTTGTAGGTAAATGGATGGTCCTCAAGGCTGTAATTTTAAGTGAAATAAATAGATGCACAAGTTTAAATAATCTCATTGTTTCTCTTACAGGAGAAACCCTCGGGTAAACGAGGAGCAAAATGAAAGGTAGATATTGGGAAGGGGAACAAGAGAGGAAGAGAAGCAAGGGAAAGGGGACTAAAAACAAAAGAGGGAAGGAAAGAAAGGGAAAGTTTCTGTGAACTGGGACTGGAAGAATGAGAGAGGAGGGGAGGAAATGAAGAAGACTAAAGATCTATTCTATACAGGCACAAGTTCCCTATGATGAATGTTAGACTGTATGGCCAATATTTATATTATACTTAAAAACTATTTCTGTAACAGGTTTATTCATCAATAACTTGAAAGTGGTCTATTTGATGTTTAATGTGTTATAATTTCCGTATATTTGCATATTCATTTTAATTTGAATTGTTAATAGCTTGTGTTGAATTTATTTCATGACGATTATATGTATTCTCTCCTTAGTGGGAATTATAGGGTTATAACCACACATATAGTTTGTCATAGGTGGCTAAACTAAAGAATATCTCATCAAAGAAAAATTATTTTCTCCATCCACCGTCACCCCCACAAGGGCTCCCAGTGGGATTTGGGCTTTGTTAAATTACTTCTCTTTAAGTAAGCAGGGCTTCATCCAGACTGTGAGCTGATGGCTTTTGGTCTAGTTGAGGCAGCTATTTGTGGATCTTAATGATGAGGGTACGTTTTGAAAAACTGCATCATTATGTGATTTTTTAAAATTATGTAAACATCGCAGGGAACTTAAACTCAGCCTGTTATTTATTTTTTATTTTTTCAGGGATTGAACTCAGGACCCTGCACTTGCCAGGCAGGCGCTCACTCTACTGAGCTGTCTCCCCAGCCACTCAGCTTGTTATTAATGTCACTAGGTTATATAATCTTACAGGACCCTCATTTATTTTAGCTTGTTCTTTGTGGTACTGGGGATGGACTTGGAGTCTTGCACTTGCCAGGCAGGCACGCGTGCTGCTGAGCTGTCTCCCCTGCTCCTGGGGCGCTCATTTATATGTGATGTTATTGACTCAACTGTCATTGTGTGGTATAGGTGTGCTTGCTAAACATACTAACACGACAAATGTTTATTGAGTGTCCGCTATGGAAACAAAGCGGTAATAGAGACAAGTGCCTCGAGTGACTTGAGCTCCATTCCGGTAGACAGCTACTCCAGCGGCTGAGAAGATGTGTGAGGTATTATTACAAGAGGGTCACGGAGTAGAAATTTCCAGTCTACTTCTAAAAGTGATTGTTTGCTAGTGTTCCTGTCCTATCAAGCTCCTCCGGCCAGTGTGTAGGTTGCACATTGTTTCCCAACTACTCTATAATGAGGAGTGAAGAGGGTGCTGCCGGCAGCTGTGCTCAGAATTTCTCTCCAATATTAGAACACATTTGTTGACCTCCTAAGTGTGAATACATTCACTCTGAGTTTTGAAGATTGCTCTTATGCAAGGGAAAATGATGCTATTGAAGAGCAAACAGGGAAAGCCCGTAATACTTAATACTGAGACCCAGAATTGTCTTAGGAAGAACAGAAGGATGTGATTTCATTTGTATGTTTCTTATCTGCGTGAACAATGTCTTTAGTATTATACAGGCTGTCTGGCTAGTCATCCGATTGTGACTGACTTCTCTGCTTTACGCTGGAAGTCCACTGATTGTGCTTCTGTTCCATTGTTTTAAACAGATAACAAAACTCACGCCGAGGGTTGGCAAATCAATCTGATCTTGAATATTCGCCCATCTGAGGGCACAGGGGTTATGTTTGCCTTGGTTTTGGATGATACAGTGCCTTTTGCTATGTCACTGGTGGACTCCACCTCTAGAAGTTCTCAGGTAAGGTTACCCTCAGTCTATAACCCACATAGCTCTGTGAGTGTGTTTTAACATAGGTGTTATATTCACCTTGAAGGAATATTTTGTGGTTTAATGACACAGCTATACAGACAGAATGTTTGGCTTAATTTCCAGCATTAATATAAATCCCTTACAAGACTTAAATTACTAATTCTATTCAGGGTCTGAAAGCGGAAGTAAGGGAAGTAGAAACTCAGAAGCATAGTGCATCTGAAGGTAAGATTAGGCAACTTTGCAGGGTACACAGAGATCCACTTTTATTCAGAATCCTTGCAGGATTGTGGGAATTATTCTGTCCTAACAAAATAGAAGTGAGCCCGATAACAATCTATTTTGAGGTACTGAGCCTTTAATTGTACTGGTTCGTGCTTTCTCTCACTCTCAGTCTTTTCTCACATGAGTAAGTGAGGAGAGAGAAAACGAAATTCTGGCTGGCGGCTCTTGTGATAGAGGAGGAGGAGGAGGAACAGGAAAGTCGTGGGTGCGTGGAAACACGAAAGTTGTCAGGAGACCTCTGCTCCCCAGCCTGCTGTTCCGGGCTGTCGTGTGCCATCCACAGCGGGTCCCAGCCAGTACCGGCAGACTGCTGTGCCCATGCCTGGCTTTCCTTGGAAGCCCTCGTGGCTGTTAGAAAGAGACACGTAATTGGGTAATGTGTACAGTAATAAAAGAGGGTGTTCTGATTGCAATGTGAAGGTTGATTTGGATGATCTGGCTCTTAAACCTGAACAATTTGAAGGGTGTCTACTGTTCTGGTATTCTTGTTGCCGTTAGCCTCCAGGCTACTCCAAGCTAACTTCACTTGCATTTCAGGGGTGTGTGTGAGGGGGTGCTTGATTTTTTTGTGTGTATGTGTTTTTCTATGCAGATTGGATTCCTATCTTACATGTTCATATATGTATATGGTATATATATGTAAAACATATATGTAAATTTATGCATACATATATGTGTATGTATATTTTACATATATGTTTTTATATATTATATATACATAATATATATGTATGTATATTTTAATGTATTTCATACAGGGTCTCACTATGCAGCTCAGACACAGCACAGACTCATAGAAAGCCCCTGTGGTCAGCCTCCCAGCCCTGGGATTACAGGCATGTGCCACCACTCCTGGTCTCAGTGGCCAGCTCAGCGTGCCCAGCGGTGGGACCGGTGCAGCATGTGGTGCCGGGGATCAAACCCAGTCCCTAGTTCACTACGCTCTCCCGTCAGCCCTCTTATCTTTAATATTAACATTCATGCAGTTGAAGGAATCAAGTCTTAATTTTGATTAATAGAGTATTAGAAATTCTTACGTTTACATGTAAGTTCAGTTTTGCATTTCAAAGTTCTGAGTTCACCCAAATAGCTGCCTAGTATTGCTTGCTTATACTGGGTCTCTGCTCTGCTTTTCAGGATATTATAGTGTCTATTGAAAATAAAGTAGTAAGTCGCATAGAGGCCGTCGATCTGTGTTCCAGGCAACAATCCCAAGTGGTCCTCGGTGTCGACAGAAAGAATCTGGCGCTGTGGACTCCGCTTAAAGAAGATACCATTTACTCTGAAGACCTTCAAAGGCAGCTTGCAGTCTTGGATGAAGCGATGAAAGGAACAGTGACCACTTACCTAGGTGGCCTTCCAGGTGTGCTATTGCTTTTTCTTCAGTTTGAAAGCTAAAATTTTAATCAAATTTATGATACTTTAAATACAGAATTTTAATAAAGAGGCATCAGAGGCGAAGACAAAACTCCAGTGTCCATTATTAATTTTCTAGATGCTGGGACTGACATTGTATTGAGTTTCTTCTTCTTTTTAAAAAAATGTTTCTTAAAAACTATTTGTGCTTAAAAGTTTGTAACCTAGATACTGGCTTGATAAGAAATCCACTGAGAAAGGCTTTTCCGAGATCAGCATGTTTCCCTTTGGACTCCCCACAGAGCATGTCCATGTCAGTTTGAATTTACAAACACTTCAGTTTTTACTGTACATGAGATTATACCCTGTCCACCTAAACTGGTTTTTTTTTTAAATTTATGCTCCTCCTCCTCCTTCTGTACTTAGTACATTATCTACAGGGTCTCACTATAGAGATGGGACTTGGAGTGATCCTCCTGTTTTCAGCCTCCCAGGTGCTGGGATTACAGGTACGCATCACTATGCCCAGTCTTAATTGCCCTCTCGGGGGTGGGGCCAGGGCTGAACCCTGGCTGCTGCGCTCTGCCTAAGCAGGCGCTTTAGTCTGCTGAGCTATCTGGCTGGCCCATAGACTGGGTTTTGATTATTCTTATAGTCTCTCTTTGCTAACTGCCTAAGTTTTCCTCGATGAAATCCAAAGAACTCTTAGCTGATACTATTTTGGTTGTTTTATTAACGTTAGAAGCAGGCCTTGTGATCCAGCCCAGCATCACTGGGAAGTAACTTTCAAAAAAATGTTCAGCGTTCTGTCTCATACCACAAACCCATGAATGAGTGCCTAAGTCTGGGACCAGGACGGCCTCATAGTGTAGCTACCCAGCCTCACAATGTCCCATTTGGGGAAATTTCACATGAGGATCCTTCAGCTCAGCATGCTGAGATGACGAATTTTCCTATGACTTCTTCCATAGTCCACAGCCAGCACCTTCCATCCTGAATCAGCTTAGAGCAGCATGAGTGTGTACAGCTGTATTTAACTTCAAAGCAAAATATGCAGCAAGGGCTGGTGAGATAGCTCAGCAGACTATGCGCTGGGGCCAGCGTTCAATCCCTGGCACTGCATGCTGCGCCGGCCCTGCCCCCGCTCCTGGGAGCGCTGAGCCTGCGACCGAGTCTGGGCGTGGTGGTGCACACCTGTAATCCCATCATCCTTGCAAGTGCAGATAAAGGCCAGGTTTGGCAGCAGTGGGAACCGCCGTGACTTCCAGTCCCGGTTGACCTCGGAAATCCATACTCTGTTTGAATGATGAACTGAAACTAATCAACGTTTGCTGTATCTGGCTCTCTCAGCCAGAAGGGATTTCATTTCATTTCACTTCATCTTCACAATAGTCTTATCAGTTCAGTACTTATTCTTGAACTTATTCATCAATTTATCAAATATTTATTCACTCATTATTTAACTCATTTATCATTTACTTAGTATTTATTAAGAATTTATGTCCTCATTACTAGGAAAAAGTAATAAGCAAATAGAAGTGATTCCTCCAGTTCAGCTTTTACAATCTGGTGTCAACAGCACACACAAAACAGCTGATTAGGAAAAAATGAAATAATTAAAATTGGGGTCATTTCTATGAAGGAAAAGTGTGGCTTGCCTCTAGAGCTTGAAATGTCAACTTGATTCAGTTGTGGAGGCCAGGAGAAAGGACCTTAATAAGACACAAAGATACAATTTGATACTTGAAGGAGTAAATTAAAGTAGGTGTAGGAGCAGGGCTTAGTACGTGTGGTCAGTTGTCCATGTGCAGCCCAAGTGGGGCAGGTGGCATGTTTGAGACACACGTGACAGGTCTGAGGGTGTTAAGTTTAGCAGGGGATTCAGTACTGCGGGACGAGGGTGTGGGCTGGAGGGTGGGTAGAGGCTTGAAGACCCAGCTGTGGGCATATTATGAAAGATATACAAATCTTTAAAATATTTGAGACAAGGGAGTTGTATTTTAGTATCACATCTTTAAGAACTGGATCGAGACGTCTGAAGCAAAAAGTAGATACAAATTGAGATGTGAGGCTGCTGAGCAATCAGAGGCAGTAGTAAAGACCAGGGAGATCGCTTAGTGGCACAAGCGCTTGTCTGGAAAGTGCAAGGTCCTGAGTTCAATCCCCAGTAGCAAAGAAAAATTCGCCCGTGTGATAGCAGCACAGCTTCCGTGATCATACTCTCATCAGTTGGTGGAGAGTCTGAATACTACGCCCAGTTCTTCGAGAATATCAACTCATTTAATTTTCAAAGAAGCGAGGAAGGGACTATTACTCCCCTTTTTTGATGCGAGAAGAAACTGGGAGCTGCTGAGTTAGGATAAGGGCACACTGAGCGGTTAGAAATATAAGAGGGAAAATAAGAAGAGGATGGGTTGAAAGACAGGTGTAAGGATACCCGTAGGTACCTGGCCTAAGCGATTGCACTGTGAGAATTCCCTTCAGCACAATCAGGGAAACTAGAGCAAAAGTAGGTTCATCTTTAAATTAACATTGGAAACTGTGAAATTAGTGCCGCCATTTTCCTTTCCATGGTAAAAGGAACAGAAAGTTACTTAGAAGCATCTTCCAGTTCTATTAGGAGATTATGCTCATGGGGAGAATTCTGAGCTTCTGGTAACCTTCTGGACCTCTGGTTACCTTCATTGTGTTGCATTAAGTGCTCATGTCATTAATTTCCCACATACGTCATTTATTGAGGGTTTGGTGGCAGTGGAAGTAAACTCCAAAAGTGTGGGGGAGAATTCAGGTTCTTTAGGCCAGCGTGCTTAATTATTAGGGGACACAACTGCAATTGAAGCAATGGATTCTGTGCTGAAACCTGCTAACTACCTGATTCACAAATTAATGGAATACAATTTTAGCAAATCAAGAACCAACACAGGTGTTTCTTTTTTTTGACAGAACCAGGGATTGAACTCAGGCCCTTGCGCTTGCCAGGCAAGTGCTTATTCAACTGAGCCATCTCCCTGGCCCCTAACACAGGTGTTTAAATGATGTAAAAGCACCAAACTTTTAGGGATTCCAATACCTTGTGAAAACACTAAAGATTGAATTCGTGGAAGAAGTGTTAAAAGACAGAGTAAGGAAAAAGTGAGATGAACATGAGATGTGTGAGAGCGGAAAGTTACAAAATAAATAAAATAAATCATTTACAAACTACACATGTGAAATTGCAGGGTAATCAGTAAAACATCACAAATTCTGAGGATTTTCTAAAATATTTAGTTTGGGAAGGTCTTTTTTTTTATTTTTTGAGACAAAATCTTACTATATAGCCCAAGTTGGCCTTGAACTCACAGTAATCCTCCTGCCTCAGCCTTCCAAGTGCTAGGCTTGTACGAGTACACCACCACACCCGGCCTTTTTTAGTTTTAAGTGACACTAGTAATTATATATTCTAGGGGTAAGAAAATTTTTTAAAGATAGTAGCAGAGGGAGCCGGGGATACAGCTCAGTGGTATAATGACCTGCCTGGCAAGTGCAAGGTCCTGATTTCAATCCCTGGTACTGAAAAAAAAAAAAAAAAAAAAAAGCATAAAAGATAATGTTTAGCTGAACTTGAAAGGGAATTTTAAAGTATGCTGTAGGCTTAGAGGAAAGAGACTACATCGGCAAGTAGAAGTACTCGCAAATTAGGAGTAGGAAAGTTCAAGTATTCATTTTCAGCATACGGTATTAAGAAGGATAAGAGCTAGTAAATACCCATTGTGAACATTCATGAAGAGAAGATGCCTAAAAAAGAAACAAGTAGAGAGATGGGTTATTTCTAAAGTGAACCATAGTTCTAAGGAAACCAAGGTTTATGCTTTAATATTAAGTTTTATAAAGAGAGTGAAAGGCTCAAGGCTCTAAATCACTCCATTCACTGAGTACATATTAAAATTGTTTATTACATAACACAACCCCCTCTTACGACTTGCTGTTGTGTTGTTCAACCAGAAACTATTTTTTGGAGCTGGGGAGATAGCTCAGTGGTCCAAGTACCTGCCTGGCAAGTGCAAGGACCAGGGCTCAAACCCTGCTACCGCATGCCGTGCCCACTCTGCGCCAAATCAGCCACCAAAACCGGGTGTGGTGACACACATCTCACACATCTGTCATTCCAGTGCTGAGACAGAGGATCACTATGAATCCGAGCTGTGCAGTGAGACCCTGTTCCAAATACATGCATTTAAAAACAAGCCAAAAAAAAAAAAAAAAAGAAAGAAAAAAAAAAAAAAAAAAAAAAAGAAAAGAAAAGAAACTATTTCTTGGAAAATGTAAAAGTCTGCTTTCATTTTAGTGATATAATAAAAGATATGGTTCTCATGACATTTAAAACATATTTCCCAGTAAGTATAACTAGGAGTTGATAAAGTGGTTTAACAATGCTTAAAGTGATGCTTAAATTTACAATGAAAATTATTTATATTATTTTTATAATAAATACAGAATGTTACAAGTTGGAATGTGCTCTTTTTGACTGCTTTAAGGGTGTTATCTGTTTTTAGTTTGGATAGAACTGATTTTGTTTATAAAATCAGAGAAACTCACGATATACTGAGTTCCTTGCCAAACATTTTATATATATATATATATATATATATATATATATACATATATATATATGTATATATATATTAAAATACGTAGGGATAGGCACATATGTGTGTTTGTCCACATGTTGCTTATTATGTATTTATTGAACAGAATTGCACTGCTAACTACTTCAACTGTTTGGTTGCACGTGGACAGTCTGAGCAGCTCCGTAACTGTAAGTGAATAAGATACTGAAAGCGTTGGGCACACGTTCTGTCTTGCAGACCTTCCCTTCACTGCTGCGCCCGTGAACGCCTTCTATCACGGCTGCATGGAGGCGACCGTCAACGGTGAGCTGCTGGACCTGGACGAAGCCCTCCACAAGCACGACGACATTCGAGCTCACTCGTGTCCATCCATTTGGAACAGCACAAAAAGTCCCTAAGGCATCTTGTTTATCTGCTGATAATGCCTCTTTTCAGAGTGGATGATACCTGTGTTTCTATGACAGCTGGATGGGTTTATTGATGATATGAAGTCCTTGATCATTTTGTGCTACTTTGAGCTTCTTGGAATTTTTCAAAGCTCTTTTTAAGAAAAAATTCTGCTATAATATTAAAAAATTCTTTCTGATGTGGCCATCTAGAAATTAAATAAGGAAACAAAATTTTTAAATTTTAATTTTTTTGCTACCAAATGACATTGCTTTAGTTTTTATTTGAAAATACAAATTTTAATTTCACCGTCCTTGGACTAGTATTTTAATTATCTCTTTCTCAAAAGGCATAATAGTAAAATCAAAAAAACTCATGTGATTAAATACTGCCTTTCATAGGCAGAATTTTTTGGCTGTCATTGTTGATGGTACCCTTTTGTGATGAAGGCAGAACAGATGGATTATTGAGTGGGATCCAGTGGAAGGTTTTAAGGCTTTATTCCAACTAATTTGCCAGGGGGAACAACACTGGCTTTGCCTTCCTCTTACACGGCTCGTATTTCCAGCAGTGCCTTCAGTGAAGTAGAGAACAGAGGCACAAGTCGCCTTGAGAGCCACCCAGAGCTTGCTTCTTGGATCCGTGAGGATGAGCCATTCGATGACTTGGGTGCGGGTGTGGAGACTGGCTTGGGGACATTCCTTACACTGGGCTGTGCAGGTCTTACAAGCTCCATATTTAGTGGTGGAAAGGACAGTAACAAATGTGCTGTACAGTGTTCTTCCACCCAGATTTTAGTTACTATACTAAATCACTTGAATATGATGTGTTAAGGAAGAAAAGAATCTATGAAAGCTTGAGTAGATCTTTGACAGAGAGCTGACCACAGAGCGAAGCAGCAAATGCTATCGTTTGTAGTCGGAGGCGTGGGAAGGTGTGATTGCAACATGCTTGTTGGCAAGGCAGTTTTTTCATGCCTGAACCATTTGTGTCAGGTGTGTATCAGATGTTTTGCTGATCCTTTAGAAAAGAAACTTTTTTCACTACCGATACTTTAAATCACATAAAATGTAATAAATTGATGTATATTTTAATCACGTGTGTGAATACTATCTTTATTCTATGGGAATAATGTCTTTATTCTAACAAAACCTAGCGTTACATATCCTACTCTAACTTCAGGTAATTCTTTAGTGGAAAGACACGTACAGCTCAAATATTTGATCCCTACTTGTGACTGATTATACAGTGGAGCTTGTAGAAAGAAGGACAGCAGAAGTTACTCTAGGTCGTCTTACTGGGTGGGATTTTCCTCTCAGTTGCCTCCATGTATTATGGGTGAAGAATGCCAGCAAGTGACTGTTGATAATTAGGTTGATTGAAAGAAAAGCAAGAAAATATAAAGACTAGGGGCCTATGAGAAGGGGAGAACCAAGCAGAAAAAAGGAAGAAATTAATTAACTCTGGTTTCCTGGCGTAGAGCTGGCCTACCTCCTTGTAGGTGCCATGAATCTGCAGATTTTTATCTTCCAGCTCGCTTGCTAGGACAAGCCTTCTGCAAAGAAAAGAAACAGTGTAGCCCTGACTGTAGTAAATTCTCTTTCCTGTTGAAGTTTCGGTCTTAGAGAGCTGAATTCTCTGGCTTGAGTGAGATGGGAAAGTAAACTAATGTTTACTTGACATAGTGAGACTCCAGCATGGTGATCTGGAGTTCTAAATATTTAATACATAGCATGTAATTTCAATAAGGCTACACAGCACTGGGGGTGAGGTGGAATGAGTACCTGTACCGCCGTGAGCCAGCCCAGGATGTCAATGCCACTTGGGACACACAGGCACGATCGTGGCCTGCTTTGCAGCTGGAGAGAGCATGCTGCCTAGCTAGGGTTGAAAGCCAGGATGAGCCAGGAGTCCATGTCTAAGCTTGAAACTTACACTGGTCCTGAATTCTTACTAGTTATCCCAACACTTAGTAAATGATATCGTTGGCTGTTGTAAACAATCCAACACATCCAGCACCTTACTGGCTGATTCTCCACCTCTGCCTGGTGTGGTCTGCGTCATGAATCTCAGCTGATAATGTAACCACGTCGATGCTTTAGGAAATGCAGCATTATTGAATTATGCGGATGAAAACACTGACTTGTGTAATGACGGGAGTACTCTGAGCTAGATGCTATCCTGGGAAAACGATGGAAAAAGTGTCCTGTCCCTGCAGTTTGCGTCTTCACAGTTTGGGAGACGGTGAACTATAGACAGCTACTTCCAGTGGGGGCCTGAGATTTGTGAGGGTATAGCAGAGGGTTAAAGATTTTCAGGGAATTCTGGAAAGGGAGAAATGAATTCCAAATGGAAGCTTGTTGCAGTGCTGTTAGAACCAGAACCAACAAGATACGTGATTTTTTAGTTTTAGTTTCCCCCCATTCCTTCCTGTCCGTGTGGTACCGTTCCCTACAGAACTTTCCAGTTAGCTTTGCACACAGATAACTTATTTCATACTCAGAAAAAAATTAAAAAAAAATTCCCTTCATTTCCAGTTGATTTTGTTGGTGGTGGTATGGAAAATGAGCCCAGGACCTTCACACTGACCTAAATCCCTAGAAATTTTTCAGCTGTTATTTTGAGAAAAGGTCTTGCAGTTTTCTAGGCTGGGTTCAACTTCGTAATCCTCTTGCCTCAACCTCCCACATCGCTATAGCTATAACCCACGTCATGTACCACCACATGTTTTAATTTTGTCTTTTCAGGAAGAAAGATGCATGGGTAGATTTATATGTGCATCGTGGTCAGGTTTTATCAGCCTGCACTTCATGAGTGTTGGGATGATAGGACTCCACCACCTGTCT